TGGACTCCTGCAAGCTGGAAGCGGTCTTACAATGGCCGTTGCCCAAGGGCCTTAAGGCTACACAAGGCTTCATAGGTTTTGCGAATTATTACCGCAACTTTATTAAAGGCTTTTCTTCAGTAATTTCTCCTATTACCAACTTAACCAAAAAAGGAACAAATTGCAAAACATGGCCCAAAGAAGCGAGAGAGGCATTTGAGCAATTAAAATCTTTATTTTCCTCAGCATCTGTCCTGACCCATCCCGATCCAACCAAGCCGTTTATTCTAGAAGTAGATGCATCAGAAACAGGAGTAGGAGCCATTCTGTCTCAGAGAGAAAGTCCTGATGCGCCTTTACATCCCTGTGGATTTTTCTCTCGCAAACTCACCTGCAGAGAGAAATTATGACGTTGGGAATAGGGAACTTTTGGCCATTGTACTTGCCCTTAAAGAATGGAGGCATCTCTTGGAAGGTTCCAAAGAGCCACTTCTGATTTTTACCGATCATAAGAATTTGGCTTATATTGGGGATGCTAAGAGATTGTCCTCTCGTCAGGCTAGATGGTCATTGTTCCTCTCCTGATTCAGTTTCGTAATTACTTATAGGCCTGGGACCAAGAACATTAAGGCAGATGCACTGTCTAGACAATTTGAGACAGATGAGGCTCCTGAACAGGAGGTATTTCCTATCATACCCCCAGAATGCCTCATTGCCACTACAGTTTCCAAAGTGTCTTCTCCACTATTCTGTGCCATAATAGCAGATCAAACTCAGGCACCTGTGGGGGAACCTCCGGATAGACTGTATGTTTCACCACCATTAAGAAAAAAGGTACTTTATTTATTCCATGATAATCTCACAGCAGGTCATCCTGGAGTCCATAAAACACTCTCTGCTATCTCTAGGAGGTTTTGGTGGCCTACACTTAGGAACGACATCAAAGATTATGTTGGGGCATGTCAAATATGTGCCATTTCTAAAGTCCCTCCTAGGTCACCTCCTGGACTGTGACAACCTCTGCCCATTTATCCATGGATTTCATTGTGACCTACCCAGCTCAAACGGGTTTAATACAATCCTTATGGTCATAGATAGATTTTCAAAAATGGCACATTTTATACCTCTTAAAAAATTACCATCTGCTCAAGATCTTGTACCGATATTCTTGAGAGAAATCTTTCGGTTGCACGGAATGCACAAAAACATAGTATCTGACAGAGGTACCCAATTTATTTCTAGGTTTTGGCGTTCCTTTTGTAAACAATTGGGTATCGAACTCTCATTTTCTTCGGCATACCACCCTCAAACTAATGGCGCAGCAGAGAGAGCCAATCAGTCTTTAGAATCCTATTTGCACTGTTTTATTAATGCAAATCAGTCTAACAGGTATGAGCTCTTACCCATGGCTGAGTTCGCCAGGAATAATGCGACTCATGATTCTTCTAATCACAGTCCATTTTTTGTAAACCAGGGTTATCACCCCACGGTTTTCCCTTCTGAGTTTTCGGATACCGATATTCCCGCTTTGAACACTCGTTTGGATTCTATTCATGACACTTGGAATTCCGTTCCTTCAGCTCTACAAAAGGCATCTAAACGTGCGAAGGCCCATGCTGACAAGAGACGGGGTACCAATCCTGTCTATCAACCGGGTGACAAGGTGTGGTTGTCCACACGCCATATCAAGCTTAAAGTTCCTTCCATGAAATTTGCCCCTAGGCACATAGGTCCTTTTCGAGTCCTCCGACGTATCAACCCTGTGACTTATTCCTTGGCACTCCCTGCCCATATGAGGATTGCCAATTCGTTTCATGTATCTTTGCTCAAGCCTCTTACTTGCAATCGATACACTATAGTGTCTACTCCCCCTCCACCCTTGATAGTGGGTGACCGGGAGGAATACGAGGTTCGTTCTATACTGGACTCCAAGACTTCCAGAGGTATCTTGTCCTATCTTGTTGACTGTAAAGGGTATGGTCCTGAGGAACGTTGTTGGGTTCCTGCTGACCGGGTTCATGCGCCCCGTCTTTCACGACCGCTTCCCTCTTAAACCGGGTCCTTCCCGCCAGGTGAGCGGTCTTCGAGTGGGGGGTACTGCTGCGGTCACCGGCCTGCCGCGTGGCAAGGCTGTGCCCGACCGACACAGCCTCACCGACAGCACGAGCTTACCTGCTCGTTGGCAAGCTGGCAACCGCTCCCCCAGGTCTTCCAGGCATCGCGCCCACTTTAAAGATGGCGCTGACCGCGTGGTCACGTCCATCTATAGCTCGGCCCCTGAAAATTATAATAACGTGCGCGTGACGTCACAACGTCAAGGTACATGCACGTTTTGGGGTCAGAGGCCGCCCTCTGGCCAATCAGAGCATAGAGAGGGATATTTAAATCCCTAACTCTCCCCAGTACCTTGCCCTGTCGTGGTTTCCTGTTCCTGGTTTCCTGAAAGTGCTTTATCTTTGTGAATCTGATTCCCTGGTATCCTGATCTTGGCTTTTCCCTGGTTATTCTGAATTCTGGTTCCCCTGACTTGGCTTGTGTAAACTGTATTGTGTATTTTCTGGCTTCCTTGACCTCGGCTTTCCCTTTTGACCATTCTCTGTCTCTAGCGTATTAGTCCGGCCATTCTAAGGTCCGGTTTACGCTCCGTCCTTTTATTTTCCTTTTCCTTCTTATGTATATGTTTACATAGGTTCTGCGTGCTGGACCACACTAGTAGTCGTGACACACAGAAATGCAGAATAACCCTCCCCTCATACAAATAATACGGACAGCCCACACACAAACATACACACAATCCGCACAAACGCAACACCACTAACAATCCACATACATGCACACAAGCACACATGCAGCCTCCCACATGCAATACCCCAAACAGCCCCCACACACTACCAAACACACAATGTAACATATCCATCCACACACACAATTCCACAAGCAGCCCCCATACACAGCTTACATTCATATGTATCATACACAATATCATAAACTACTCATGAACATATACAATATAATAGCTCATATACGCAGGGCCATCTTTAACGCAGGGCAAACGGGGCAGCGGCACCGTGAGCCCCGCTGGCCTCAACTATTTCTCAACCCCGGCCGGTAATCCGCACACTAAGGAGGGCCACCGGCTGGCCCATGCACAAAGGGCCATCCGGTGGGCTTCTGTCAGCAGGGGTCTGGTGGCGCGCTAACAGCCCAAGCTTTTCGGCAGCAGGCTGGGAGGAAAGGACGGCCGTGCATAACTTCCTCCCACAAAGAGAGGAGCGCACGGGAAAGAAGAGTAGGCAGAGTGGAGGGGGGCTGGCCGAGAGAGCCAGACCCCAACTCCCAACACCTTCAGCCATCAGCAGGAAAGGTTGGAAACTGGAGGGTGGGTTTAAAGTGTAAATTTTGTGTGTGTTAGTATGCTTGTGTGTGTGTGTGTGTGTGTGTCAGTATATCTGTGTGTGAGTGTCAGCATGTCTGTGTGTCAGCGTTGGGGTGGAGGACGTGATTGCACACCTGGGAAGGGGGGACAGGGTCCAGGGGGCCCCAAGCAAATGCTTTGCCCATGGTCCAGTCAATATTAAAGACGGCCCTGCATATACGCACATATACAATGATACAAAGCAATTACAGTAAAAATAACACAAGCAGAATATGGCAGCATACACACCTCAATTTATAAAAAAATAGGACTGCACGCTACTGGACATCCTATATCCTATATCGGCACAGTGCTGCTAAAAGGTTGCTTACCCCTGCCCTACACTATAGCCTCTAACCCTAAACTAAAGCTCCTGTCACCCCACGATAGTCCCTAGCCCCCTACTACACCCCCTAAATTTTCAATTAATGCCACTACAGCCCACTACCAGTGTCCTTCCTGAGATTAGGTTCTGGATCCGCCCCTGCTCTGTATGCCTTTATCTGTATGACTATATGGCTGTGTATGTACATGTCTTTATGTCTATATGACAGTTTCTGAATGTTCTCTGTATGTCTGTTTTATATGACATTGTACCTGTATGTGTAGATTGTATTTGTTTAATAGTGTGCTTAATTAACTCTGTGTGCCTGTATGGGTGGGTGTTGCTATATGTGGCATGGGAGAAAAAATAAACAAGAGCTCTGTGGGGTAGGTACACACAAAATGGGGAGAAAGCCACAGGATGGGTCTTGGGGAAAGAAAGAGACACACAAAGGGGCTCTGGAAAGTAAGAGACACACAAAGGGAATGGGGGATAGAAACAGACATGCAAAGGGGCTCGGAAAGTAAACGATACACAAGGGGGTTGGTAAGAGACACACAGGTGAAGACGAATTGAAGACATAGTAAAGGGGGAATAAAATACAATAATGAGGGTAAGAAATTCAGAAGGGGGATTACGAGACACAGGTGAGGACGCATTTTTTTTTTTTAAAGGGGGTGGCAAAATGCATCTTCTTCGTCTGGGTAGCCAAAAATCCTTGCACCAGCCCTGAGTGTATATGTTTATTTGTTGTGTTATTGAATTTGCCTTGTTTTATTGTAGTTACGGTGCATATTTGTCCTCTAATTTTCTTAACTGATTTAAACTCTTAAATCAGTAAGAGTTTGTGACGTTGATTTTAAACGTAATCAACTCTGGTTAGGGGTTTGTGGTGTTCAACCAGCTCATGACCAAACACTTATTTTATTGGGTGGGTAATTTAATTAGTAGAAAAGTGTTTTCTGTGGCTTTATGTTGAATTCGCTAATTCTCTGATGGTTCCATTAACACGCCAATAACACCTCTTCGGTATCTATGGTGATAAAATTTGGCAGTATAACATAATATTTTTCACCAGACCGATGTGTTATCCAGACCAATAATGGGAAAAGTAACATAGCAGTGATCACTTTGACACTGTTAACAGCTTATTGGCAGCTGTTTGCATGCAGATAATTATTAAACAATGGACTATGACTAGTGATGTCCTGAACTGTTCGCCGAACGGTTCGCCACGGACTCATCATTAAGTAAACTTTGACCCTGTACCTCACAGTCAGCAGACACATTCCAGCCAATCAGCAGCAGACCCTCCCTCCCTCCCAGACCCTCCCACCTCCTGAACAGCATCCATTGTAAAGCTGCATTCTTAGCGAGCTGTCCAGGAGGTGGGAGGGTCTGGGAGGGAGGGTCTGCTGTTGATTGGCTGGAATGTGTCTGCTGACTGTGAGGTACAGGGTCAAAGTTTACTCAATGATGAGTCCGTGGCGAACCGTTCGCGAACCGTTCGGGACATCATTAACTATGACTAATTTAGCCATTTATTTCTAAATATGTTAGGTATCTTCCGCTGTTTGGTCCTTGAATCCATTATGCAACATATGGAAGGTTAATGGGTACTAAAAACATGCTATCATTCCCAATGTCTAATCCACAAGCTTCACTGCTCAAAAAAAAAATCTGCCTGTCACTTGGCTCATAGAAGATGATTTAAAACATTCTTTCTCCTGTCACGGCATGTCACACTCACTCACCGGGTGCCACATGGGTCTCGGCGACCCGTGAGTGAGAAAAGCGCAGAGCTCTCTTTCTGGCACTTGTTCCTAGCCTGCCAGTCCTTGCAGCTGTTCCATGTGTGTGCAGGGGAAGGGAGGCGCGCCTTGTTTGCCCTATGGATCACCTCCCCTCCGGCGGGCATTCTGTCAGTGTGTTGTGTGCCCCACACTGCTCCATGCTCCTCACCAGGCCCGGACTGGCCATCGGGCACACCGGGCAAATGCCCGGTGGGCCGCGGTGGCCGTGGGGCCGAGGCCGGCAGGGGAGGTCCCAGGATCTCCCCTGCCGGTCTATGCAGGGCCGGCACTATCCGAGCGCCGGCCCCGCTGTCTTCCATGGAGGGCCGATGGGGAGATCAAAGAGCTCCCTCACCGGCCCATTTAAATAGACCTGCGGCTGGGGAGGGAGGGAGAGGACCCGGCGGAGCTCTATCTTGCAGCTCCGCCGGGTTCCTCTCGCGAGATCCGGCGCGTTGCCATGGCAACGACCGGATCTCGCGAGAGTGAACTCTAGCCCGCAGGCTAGAGTTCACTCACCACTGGACCACCAGGGATGATGTGAGTGTGCCGGTCCCCCTCCTCCCAGCTACCACCATGCCGGTCCCCCCTCCCAGGCTAAAGGTAAGAGGGAGGGGGGATTTAATGCCTACTTAGGTTTTTTTTTTAAATTTCTTTATTTACCCCCCCCCCTTAGTTTTTTATTTACCCCCCAACACACATTTACACACAGCACTCTCACACTCATGCACTCTCACACACATCATACACAGCACTCTCACACTCATCACACTCTGCACTCATCACACTCTGCACTCATCACACTCTGCACTTCACACACATCATACACAGCACTCTCACACTCAGCACTCTCACACACAGCACTCTCACACTCATCACACTCTATTTACCCCCACCCCCTTAGTTTTTTATTTACCCCCCCAACACACATTTACACACAGCACTCTCACACACATCATACACAGCACTCTCACACTCATCACACTCTGCACTCTTACACACAGCACTCTCACACTCATCACACTCACTCTATCACTCTGCACTCCACACACATCATACACAGCACTCTCCACACTCATCCCACCTCTGCACTCTCACACACACATCATACGCAGCACTCTCACACTCACATCACCTCTGCACTCATCCACACTCTGCACTCTCCACACATCATACACAGCACTCCTCACTCATCACTCTGCACTCATCACACTCCTGCACTCTCACACACATCATACACAGCCTCCTCACACTCATCACACTCTGCACTCATCACACTCTGCACTCATCCTCTGCACTCTCACACACATCCTTACAGCACTCTCCACACACTCCTTCCACACTCTGCACTCTCCCACACACATCATACACAGCACTCTCACCTCATCACACTCTGCACTCATCACCTCTGCACTCATCACACTCTGCACTCTCACACACATCATACACAGCACTCTCATACACAGCACTCTCACACTCATCACACTCTGCATCTCACACACATCATACACAGCACTCTCACACACACAGCACTCTCACACACATCATACACAGCACTCTCATACACAGCACTCTCACACTCATCACACTCTGCACTCACACACAGCACTCTCACACTCAGCACTCTCACTCTCACACACAGCACTCTCACACTCATCACACTCTGCACTCTCACACACAGCACTCTCACACTCATCACACTCTGCACTCTTACACACATCATGCACAGCACTCTTACACTCATCACACTCTGCACTCTCACACACATCATACACAGCACTCTCATACACAGCACTCTCACACTCTGCACTCTCACACACATCATACACAGCACTCTCATACACAGCACTCTCACACTCTGCACTCTCACACACATCATACACAGCACTCTCATACACAGCACTCTCACACTCATCACACTCTGCACTCTCACACACATCATACACAGCACTCTCATACACAGCACTCTCACACTCATCACACTCTGCACTCTCACACACATCATACACAGCACTCTCATACTCTGCACTATCATACACAGCACTCTCACACACAGCACTCTCACACACATCATACACCGCACTCTCATACACACATCATACACAGCACTCTCACACTCAGCACTCTCACATGCATCATACACAGCACTCTCACACTCAGCACTCTCACACACATCATACACATCACTCTCACACACAGCATTCTCACACACATCACACTCTGCACTCTCACACACATCATACACAGCACCCTCACACAAATCAATCACATACAGCACCCACACACAGCACCCACACCTCACACACAGGATCCATCACACACACATACTGCACTCCTCACATACACACACAACCCCCGATACACTGCCTAACACACATACACAATACTTCCAAACATATTTATATAATATATATACACATATAAATATACACACAGCACCCCTCACACACACACACAGCACCCCTCACACACACAGCACCCCTCACACACACACACACACAGCACCCCTAAACACATTTCATTCCAGACACACATTAGATCCTCTACCCAACTCTGGATCATCTACACACATACACACACTAGATCCCTATATACACTCTGAATCCATTATATACGCACGCTCACTAGATCTCCTATACATATTCTGGGTCCTTCAAACACACACACACTCTGGATCCCCTATACGCACACTAGATTCCTTATAAGCAAACACATACTACATTCCCTGAACACACACTCTCTACAAACACTACATCACCTACACACACACACTATAGCCTGTATACACACACTTGCTACATCCCCTAAACACACATTCTCTAAAGCCCCTAGCCACATATGCATTACATTACACCACAAACACAACACGACTAAAACCGACCTTATTACACAATACCACACCACGACCAGCTCACTCTGCACACACGCAATACCCCAAGCAGGCTCCAAAACACATGCACAATACTCTTTCCTGACCCATTTGTCTCCTGGTATCCATTTATAGAGACACCAGAGACAAGTTGCAAGGAAACACAGTGCAAGCATGTTATTAAATTTGCTTGCACTGCGCAGAACAAATACAGGGCTTTTTTCTCATGCTAGAGCTCTTCAGCAGAACTCTGTGCATGGTCTGCCCTGGAAGAGCATTGAACCACCATGCTCACTTTGAGAGGGGGCGTGTTTGTCATGAGTGATGACAAAACACACCCTCTCTGCCCCGCCCCCTTCTTAGTGGGCCGCTGTGATAAAAAAATGCCCGGGCCGAATTTTTTTCCCAGTCCGGCCCTGTGCTAACCTCCACCTAGGATGGTGGGAGAAACAGATCAAATCTCTCAACACCTTGGCAGAATATCTACCTAAGATACTCCTGTGGCGTCGTATTATCGACAATATCCTCGTTGTGTGGCAGGGTACCCCAGAGGAACTCTAGGACCTGGTCTCACTCCTGAACATAAATAATGAAAATCTCAGATTCACATCTGAATTTGGGCTCCGTCAGGGCCGTCTTTAATAACGAATGGACCCTGGGCAAGTGTTTGCTTGGGCCCCCTGTGCCCTGCCACTCTCGCCCCTCACTCTCTGGTATGCAATCACGGCATCCATCCCAACGCAGTGGCGGTACTAAAGTAGAATGAATTTTATTGGGACCCCCAATTGCAAGGTTGGACTAATGGTAGAACCCCATCTGTCGTGCAACTCCAACAATGCTTTGACAGCTGGGACTCTACCAATTTCCCATGCTTGCAGGGTTGTATTTAGCACTGAGCCATGTTAGTATGTTTGAATGTAAGCATGTGTTTGTATGGAGTATGTTTGTGTGAATGTGTTTGTATGTGGTACTGGAGTTTGAATGCAAGTGTGCATTTATGTGTAGTGTTTGTTTTTGAATGTAGGAGTGTGCTTGTATGTAGTGTTGACGTTTCAATGCAGGAGTGTGTTTTATATGTAGTGTTGAAGTTTGAATGGAGGGGTGTATTTGTATTTAAAGTTGCGGCTCAGATGCACAGGTACACACTCTGACGCACAAGCAGATACACAGATACATACACTGACTACATACAGATAAACAGGCACATACACTGACAGACACACTGGCACAGGTACATATATTGACACACACACAGACACATACACTGGTAGACGTACTGACAGACATACTGACACAGGCACATATACAGACATACTGACACACAGACACATATACCGACATACTGACACACACACACAGACACATACACTGATCAACATACTGACACACATACACTGACAGAAATACTGACACCCACACACTGACATATACTGACACCCACATACACTGAGAAATACTGACACACACACACAGGTACATACACTGACACACACAGACTGATATACTGACACACACACACACAGGCATACTGGCACACAGACAGATATACTGACACATGCATACACATGCGCTAACAGACATACTGACGCACTGACAGACATACTGACACATACACATACTGACACACACAGATATACACACACATATATACTGACACACAGACAGACAGACATAATGACACACACACAGACATACTGACACACACACAGACATGCTGACACATACACACATACACTAACACACACATACACTAACACACAGATATACTAACACACACAT